TTATTTTTGTTGGTCATGGGGCTTGAACTCTGGGCTTGGGCCTTGTCCCTGAGCTCTTCAGCTTAAGACAAGCACTCTACCACTTGAGCCACAGCGCCACTTCTGGTTTCCTGGTGGTTATTTGAAGATGAGTCTCACTGACTTTCATGCCCAGGCTAGATTTGAACTGTGAGCCCCAGATCTCAGCCTCCTGAGTAGCTAGGATGACAGGTGTGAGCCACTGGCATTTTAAATATACAATGGTTTTAGGTCACTTGCTTATTTTAATAAGGAGTTGTTAAGCCAGGCACCCCAGGCTGGCAAGATGCCTCTGGAGCAATGTCACGGCAGTGAGGGACTGTGCCCGCATCTGCCATCAGTGTTCTCTAGGACATTCCATTCAGGCACACACACACACACATACATAGCAGCTCAGGTCCTCTTCCGTGTCCTTGGGTGTGGGTAGTGTGCACACGGCATTCCCTTACCAGAAAGGACACTGTCCTTTCCAAGGGCAGGTGTGCAGCAATGCTGGTCCTGCTGTGGGCCTGAGTCTTGCGGAACACCACGGATGTTCCCCTCACAGAGTGAGGGCGCTTGGTTGGATCCCACGAGCACATGAGCTGTGGAATTCCCCAACGACCGCAGCCCTGGAGTGTGGTGTCTGGTGCTCAGTGCCTGCTGGCACAGCTCAGGGTTTCTTCGAATTGATTTACAAAATTTGACATCATGGTAGAGTGCTAGCCTTGAACACAAGGAGGCTCCAGGACAGCAGCCTGGCCCAGATTTCAAGCTCCAGGACAGCAGCATGTGACAGCATAAGGAAACTACTCAAATATCAGAAATTGAGGCACCACTGACGTGTGCAAGTAGTTCATTTTGTAGTGTTCAGAGCTTATCAAATCAAGCTTTGAGGTAAGAATGCTGTTCACTGAAAACTCAGACGCTAGCTCACTGACATTTAGCAGGCGACTGCTCATCTGCAGAGCACACACACTTCAGCTTTGTGAGGCAATCTGGCATTCTTTCCTTCTACAACACACTTTTAGCTTCGAAAGAACATCGTTGTTGCTGACAACCTGACTTGAACTCAGGGCCTTATGCTTACTCAGCTTTCTGGCTCACAGCTGGTGCTCTACCACTTGAGCCATGCCTTCAGCTCAGCACTTAGCTGGCTAATTAGACATGGAATTTCAAGAACTTTTCTGCCTGAGCTGGTGTTGAACCCAGATCCTCCAGATCTCAGCCTCCCAAGTAGCTAAAAATACAGGCAGGAACCACTGGCGTCCTGTTAGTTTGCTTGGCTTTTGATCCGGTTAAAAGTCTGGTGTTCCACAGGCTGAGTGGTGTCGGTTTATAGGGTGCCCACGTTCTCTCTATTCCAACAGGCAATGCTCCTGACAGCTGCAAAGTGGACGGGTGTATCCTGACGATGCAGGAGGAGGAGGACATGGTGAAGAACAAGTGGGGTCTCCAGACCCACAAGTGGAAGGTGCTGCTTCCGGTGACCAAGGTTTGTCGCTGCTCCAGTGGAGCGAGCTCGAAGGAGCTCATGCACAAGAAGAGAGCACTTTTTCCCTCACCTGTGCACTTCTAACATTCGCACTTAGTTAAAAGTGAAAGATGGAAGCTGGGCACGGTGGCTCACGCCTGTCATCCTAGCTACTCAGGAGGCTGAGATCTGAGGATCGCGGTTCAAAGCCAGCCCTGGGCGGGAGCTATGGCTCAAGTGGTCGAGTGCTAGCCTTGAGTGCAGAAGCTAACGGACCAGCACCCAAACCATAGGAACCACGAAAGGAGGAAAAGGCTTAGGCGCCACGAGTACACCCGTGGGAGGGCGTTTACCTCGGGCTGGAAGGGCTCACGGGGTGTCCGGTGGGGCGGGCCCAGCCCCGGGCGTGGGTGGTGCTACCGGGAGGGCACGATTCTGGAAGGCCCACGCGACAGGTGTGACTTTCCGGGAGCCCCTCGGGTCCACGCGGGTCGGGCCGGGCGGGGCCCCTGTCCGGCCCGTGACCCGGCCCCACCCAGGACCCCGTGCCGTCTCTCAGCTGTCCCCCAACCAGAGCCACCTGCTGGACAGCCTGACCCCGGAGCTCCAGGACGTCATCACGCACGCCAGGATCACCATCTTCCCGGACGGAGGCGTGGGCCGCCTGCGGCTCCGCGGCTTCCCCAGCTCCATCTGCCTGCTGCGGCCCCGGGAGAAGCCCGCCATGCGCTTCTCGGTGCGGCCCAGCTTCCGGGCCAACCTCTGACCGCCGCCGCGCGGCCACGGGGAATAAAGCGGCTTCCGCACGCGCGCCTCCGTGTCCTGTCCGCGCCGTCCTCCGCGTGGCCGGCCGCGGGCCGCAGCACAGAGGAGCGGCTCGCGGACCGCGCTGCCCGCCCGGCTGCGACCCGCGGTCTGGACCGCAGCCTCCCGAGTCGCTGGGATGACAGGCCTGACCAGGCGCGCGGCCCAAGTACCGGGCCTCCCTCAGTCCTGTGCGCACGCGCGGCCGGCGTCTGCGCTCGGTGCCGGCGTCTGCACTTGGTGCCGCCGGCGTCTGCGCTCGGTGCCAGCGTCTGCGCTCGGTGCCAGCGTCTGCGCTCGGTGCCGGCGTCTGCACTCGGTGCCGGCGTCTGCGCTCGGTGCCGGCGTCTGCGCTCGGTGCCGGCGTCTGCGCTCGGTGCCGGCGTCTGCACTCGGTGCCGGCGTCTGCACTCGGTGCCAGCGTCTGTGCTCGGTGCCACCGGCGTCTGCACTCGGTGCCAGTGTCTGTGCGCAGTTCTGGTGTCTGCGCTCAGTGCCAGTGTCTGTACTCAGTTCTGGTGTCTGCGCTCAGTGCTGGTGTCTGCGCTTGGTGCCGGTGTCTGTGCTCGGTGCCGGTGTCTGTACTCGGTTCTGGTGTCTGCGCTCAGTGCCGGTGTCTGCGCTCGGTGCCGGTGTCTGTACTCAGTTCTGGTGTCTGTGCTCAGTGCCGGTGTCTGTACTCAGTTCTGGTGTCTGTGCTCAGTGCCGGCGTCTGCGCTCGGTGCCAGTGTCTGTACTCAGTTCTGGTGTCTGCGCTCGGTGCCGGTGTCTGTACTCAGTTCTGGTGTCTGCGCTCAGTGCTGGTGTCTGCGCTTGGTGCCGGTGTCTGTGCTCAGTGCCGGTGTCTGTACTCGGTTCTGGTGTCTGCGCTCAGTGCCGGTGTCTGCGCTCGGTGCCGGTGTCTGTGCTCAGTGCCGGTGTCTGTACTCAGTTCTGGTGTCTGTGCTCAGTGCTGGTGTCTGTGCTCAGTTCTGGTGTCTGTGCTCAGTTCTGGTGTCTGTGCTCAGTGCCGGTGTCTGTGCTCAGTGCCAGTGTCTGTACTCAGTTCTGGTGTCGGTGTCTGTACTCAGTTCTGGTGTCTGCGCTCGGTGCCAGTGTCTGTACTCAGTTCTGGTGTCTGTACTCAGTGCCAGTGTTTGTACTCAGTTCTGGTGTCTGTGCTCGGTGCTGGTGTCTGTGCTCAGTTCTGGTGTCTGTGCTCAGTGCCGGTGTCTGCGCTCAGTGCCGGCGTCTGCGCTCGGTGCCAGTGTCTGTCCTCAGTTCTGGTGTCTGTGCTCAGTGCCGGTGTCTGTGCTCAGTGCCGGTGTCTGTGCTCAGTGCCGGTGTCTGTACTCAGTTCTGGTGTCTGCGCTCGGTGCCAGTGTCTGTACTCAGTTCTGGTGTCTGTGCTCAGTGCCGGTGTCTGTGCTCAGTGCCGGTGTCTGTACTCAGTTCTGGTGTCTGCGCTCGGTGCCAGTGTCTGTACTCAGTTCTGGTGTCTGTGCTCAGTGCCGGTGTCTGTGCTCAGTGCCGGTGTCTGTGCTCAGTGCTGGTGTCTGTGCTCAGTGCCGGTGTCTGTACTCAGTTCTGGTGTCTGCGCTCGGTGCCGGTGTCTGTACTCAGTTCTGGTGTCTGTACTCAGTGCCAGTGTTTGTACTCAGTTCTGGTGTCTGTGCTCAGTGCTGGTGTCTGTGCTCAGTTCTGGTGTCTGTGCTCAGTTCTGGTGTCTGTGCTCAGTGCCGGTGTCTGTGCTCAGTTCTGGTGTCTGTGCTCAGTGCCGGTGTCTGTGCTCAGTGCCGGTGTCTGTACTCAGTTCTGGTGTCTGTGCTCAGTGCTGGTGTCTGCGCTCAGTTCCGGTGTCTGCACTCAGTGCCGGTGTCTGCGCTCAGTGCCGGTGTCTGCGCTCAGTGCCGGCGTCTGCGCTCAGTGCTGGTGTCTGCGCTCGGTGCTGGTGTCTGTGCTCGGTGCTGGTGTCTGTGCTCGGTTCTGGTGTCTGCGTTCAGTGCCGGCGTCTGCGCTCAGTGCTGGTGTCTGTACTCAGTTCTGGTGTCTGTGCTCAGTTCTGGTGTCTGCGTTCAGTGCCGGTGTCTGTGCTCAGTGCCGGTGTCTGCGCTCGGTGCGGCCGGTGTCTGTGCTCGGCGCGGCCGGTGGCCTCTGGGTTCAGCCTCTGCAAAGCCTCGGGCAGCGCCCGTGTGGACCCTCGTTTCCTGTGTACCCGGAGGGCTTCTCGAGGCCGCCCAGTCGTCTTCCCGCGTGCATCCCGCGCCCCCCTCTGGGCTCCGGGCGCCTGCCGCTCCCGCACTCTGCACGGCCGGGGGGGGGGGGGGGGGGGCGGGGAGTGGTGTTCCTGGGGCTCCCGGGAATCAAAGGGCCGGCAGCTCGCAGGGCCAAGCTCCGCGCGGACCCGGGTCCTGCACCGCCCCACCGCGCCCCGGCCCTCCCTCACCCGCCCGTGCCCCCTTCCCGTCCTCCCCGTCCCCCCTCCCTGCCCCTCCCCTTCCTGACCCCTGCCCTCCCTGCCCTCTCCCCTCCCATCCTCGCCCCTCTCCACGCCCCCCTCCCCGTCCCCCCGCCCCAGCCCGTGGTCCCCGGCCCCCCCCCCCCCCGCCCCCGGGCCCCCGGCCCCAGTGGTCACAATGCGCAGGCGCGTCAGCGGGGCCTCGGCGCTGCGGAGCGGCGCAGTCCCGCCGGCCGCGCGGCGGGGTGCGGGCCGAGCTGGGGAGCGGGCGCGGCCCGGGGCCTGGCCATGGGCACGCGCGGGCCCTACGCGCTGGTGGACACCACGCCGGCCAAGACCATCCTGGTGTACCGCAACGGGGACCAGTTCTTCGTGGGCCGCAAGTTCGTGTTCTCGCGGCGCCGCGTTGCCAACTTCGAGGCGCTGCTGGAGCAGCTGACGGAGCAGGTGGAGGTGCCCTTCGGGGTGCGGCGGCTCTACACGCCCTCGCGGGGCCGCATGGTGCGCGAGCTCGACGCACTGCAGGCCGGCGGCAAGTACGTGGCGGCCGGCCGCGAGCGCTTCAAGAAGCTGGAGTGAGTGAGGGGCGGGGCCGGGACCCGGGGCGGGGCCGGGACCAGGGGGCGGGGCCGGGACCAGGGGGCGGGGCCGGCCGCGAGCGCTTCAAGAAGCTAGAGTGAGTGAGGGGCGGGGCCGGGACCCGGGGCGGGGCTGGGACCCGGGGGGCGGGGCCGGGACCAGGGGGCGGGGCCGGCCGTGAGCGCTTCAAGAAGCTGGAGTGAGTGAGGGGCGGGGCCGGGACCCGGGGCGGGGCTGGGACCAGGGGGCGGGGCCGGCCGCGAGCGCTTCAAGAAGCTGGAGTGAGTGAGGGGCGGGGCCGGGACCCGGGGCGGGGCTGGGACCAGGGGGCGGGGCTGGGACCAGGGGGCGGGGCCGGCCGCGAGCGCTTCAAGAAGCTGGAGCGAGTGAGAGGCGGGGCCGGGACCCGGGGCGGGGCTGGGACCAGGGGGCGGGGCCGGCCGCAAGCACTTCAAGAAGCTGGAGTGAGTGAGGGGTGGGGCCGGGAGCAGGGGGTGGGGACAGGGCGGGCCTGGACCAGAGGGCGGGGCCGGGCCAGGGCGTGGCCGGGAGCAGGGGGCGGGGCCAGGGCGGGGCCGGGAGCCAGGGGCGGGGCCAGGAGCCAGGGGCGGAGGCCAGGATCCGGGGGCGTGGCCGGCCCTAGTGTTGCAAGAACCTGGAGTGAGGGGCGGGGCCGGGAGCAGGGGGTGGGGCTGGCAAGCGCTTCTAGAAGCCTGAGTGCGGAAGGGGGTTTGGGGTGCTTGGGGGTGCGGGTTGGGTACTGGGCGGGCCAGGGCAGGTGCATGGGTCTGGGGTGTCTTCCTGTCCTGCTGTCCTCTTCGCGCTTTCTGTCTGCTGGGGTCTGTGCGCCAGGCGCCGCCCCTGGGACCAGCGCATCCATAGGTGCGGGAGGGGGATTCCTGGGGCCGCACAGGGAGGGGCGTGGGGAGGGAGGGAGGGAGGGGAGGGCAGGCCAGGCCCAGTTGGCGGAGAGCCTCCGGATCTTGTCCCGTGGGCCGGCCGTGGGTCAGTCTCCCCCTCCCCCCCCCCCCGTGGACCCCCCCCGGGCTTACAGGTGTGCGCTGTACCTGGACGTGAGCGCAGACCCTGCCCCGTGCCGAGCTCAGCGCGAAGGCCGGCGCTGCTCAGGTGGCAGAGCGTCTCAAACGCACAGGAGCACAGCTTTTTGGTGGTTAATTGGAGATGAGTCTCATGGACTTTCCTGCTCAGGCTAGCTTCCAACCACAATCCACAGATCTAAGCTTCCTGAGTAGCTAGGATTACAAACAAGCCAGCAGTACATCGTCTTAGATTATTTATTTACTTATTTATTTATATTTAATTTGTTGGCCGTGGAGCTTGAACTCGGCCTGGACACGGTCCATGAGCTCTTTCGTTCAAATCTAGGACTCTATCACTTTGAGCCACAGCTGCACTTCTGGTTTCCTCATGGTTAATTGGAGATAAGAACTCACAGCCTTTCCTGTTTCCTGGTTTTGAACCACAATTCTCAGATCTCAGCTCCTAAGTAGTTAAACTGGATTACAAGTGTGAGCCATCAGCACCCAGGAGATAATTTATTTCTAAGGCCATTATCAATATGATGAGGGATAGCTGTGTTCTTTTCTTCTTTCTTTCTTTCTTTCTTTTTTTTTTTTTTTGGGGTTGTAGGACTTGAAATTGGAGCCTGGGAGCTGACCTTGAGCTTTTGTGCTCAAGACTAGAGCTCTATCACTTTGGACCACAGCTCCATTCTGTTTTTTTTTTTTTTCTGGTGGTTAATTGGAGATAAAGCCTCATGGACTTGCCTACCCAGTCTGGCTTTGAACTTCGATTCCCAGATCTCAGCCTCTTGAGTATCTGGGATTACAGGCGTGAGCCACCGGCACCTGGCAACAGCCATGTTCTTTTTTTTTTTTTTTGTCATGGGGCCTGAACTCTGGGCCTGGGCGCTATCCCTGAGCTCTTCAGCTCAAGGCTAGCTGAAGTGCCACAGTGCCACTTCCGGCTTTTTTCAGCTTATGTGGTACTGAGGAATTGAACCCAGGGCCTCATGCATGCAAGGCAAGTGCTCTACTACTGAGCCACCTTCCCAGCCCATCAGCCATGTTCTTTAGAGACAGTTTCTGTAGCCCAAGGGCAGTGTTGCTGTTAGGACATCATCCTGCAGGGCATTGCTGGTGCACACTGGCCATTGCTGGTACATGCTGGGCGTTGCTGGTACACACTGGGAGTTGCTAGTGCATACTGGGCATTTCTGGTGCACGCTGGACATTGCTGGTGCATGCTGGGTGTGGCTTGTGCACACTGGGAATTCCTGGTGCATGCTGGGCATGGCTGGTGTATGCTGGGTGTGGCTGGTGCACACTAGGCATTGCCTGGTGCATGCTGGGTGTGGCTGGTGCACACTGGGAATTGCTGGTGCATGCTGGGTGTGGCTGGTGCACACTGGGCATTGCTGGTACATGCTGGGTGTGGCTGGTGCATACTGGGCATTGCTGGTGCATGCTGGGTGTGGCTGGTGCACGCTGGGCATTGCACGCTGGGGAGGATTCTAGCATTGCATCTTGATTCTGGCTCTGGACTGCTATGATGTATTTCTACACAGGCCCAGATGTCTGCATCTATATTTGCCTTTCTCAGGTCTGGATTATGGCCCAAATGGTAGAGCATCTATTTAGAAATCTTGAGACCCTGCGTTCAAACCCCAATACTGTCCTCCCACTGTGGGGGGGGGGGTAGCGGGGAGAAGGCAATTGATAACTCCAGATCTAATTACATTTTCTCCTTTCTTCTCTTGCAGTTATATTCATATAGTTCCCAGAAAACCTACAAAGATGAAAAAGTTGAAGGAAGTAAGTGTTCACTGCTAACTAATTAAAATTACAAGATGAGTTAGATGATTGGTAAAACGAAAAGTGTGTGATGGGACAGCTGGCGTCTTACAAAGCAGCGTTTGGTAGGGAATGCCACGCGCTGTGAAACTGTCCCACTTGTCAAAGAAGCACACAGACAGCACAGCAATACGAGTGGCAAAACCAGCACAGGAGACGGCCCTTCTGGCCGGCACCGTGCAGCCGTGGATGGACGTTTTCATTTTGCCTTTGGGGGGTTTAGAAAGATGGTCATCAGGGAGAGTTATTTTAAGTGATATAATGCTGAAGCTAATTAGGATGTTGACTTTGAAGGTTTTCTCAACGTATTCAACAAGTTTGTACTTGATAGGCATTTAAAGAGTCTACAGGATGGGGCTGCCACGGTTCCATTAACTGAGCTTGTTCTAAGCGAGAAGATCACCATGTAACTTGTAAAGAGAAATACCCCTTCCGTGTAAGCAACAAGAGTAGGTGGGTTTTAGTGGGCTGTCCTGCTGAGGTGACGTTTGTGTGAAGCAGTGGGCACGTGCTCTGGGGGGACAGCAGGGGCATCCTGGTGGCCTCCACCTTCCCCTTTGTCACCATGGGTTTGATCTCGGGGCCCCTGTGCTCAGTGGGCAGATGTTCCACCACGGAGCCATACCTCCAGTTCTTTTGACTTTTGTGACTCTTCCTAATAGAGCCTTGCTTTTCGCCAGGACCTGTCTGGACCCTGATCCTCTATTTACACTCCCTGTGTAGCTTAGATGACAGACACACAGCACCATGCCCAGCTTTATTTATTTGGTTGAGTCACATCTTGCTAATATTTTGCTCAGACTGGCTTTGAACCACAATCCTCCAAATCTCAGCCTCCCAGGTAGCAAGGATGACAGAAGTGAAGCCTAGCACTCGGTATGATGGTATCTCCTCTGAGTCGCCCCCCCTGCGGTTCCTGTCCTCCTCCATGGAGCGGAGGTGGCGCCCTCTACTTAGAGAACTGTCACCAGGTGTAAGTGATGTGTGTGGCTGCATCCGTGTGTGTGGATGGCTTTCCATCCTGTGGAGCTGGTGTTCTCGGCAGGATTATGTAACCAATTGGCCTGGTCTGGCTGCTTCTGCAATCAGGGATGAACTGTTGGGAGTTTCATACAGGGGAGCGGGGGTGTGGGGCACACCTGGGTGACCTCTCCACTTATTCCTGTTGAGTTTCCTAACCTGGCTCAGAGAATGAGTGGTGACAGTCCGTGGCGCCATTCGCTCTGACAGTGTGAGAAAGCCTGTCGCCAGCAGACGGTAACAGAAAATCACATTTGATTTGTAGAATACAGGGGAAAAAGAACCAAGAACCAGGTATTGAATAGCGGGAGTTATTTAATTAGGGCAGGTGATATCAGTGTTAATGAGTCATTAGCTCATCAAGAGGCCGATTAGCTCATTGTTTCCATAAATCTGTGCAGTCAAGCAGAAAGCCATTCTTAGGGTGGCCGTGTCTTAGTAGAATTTTATAGAGGATAATTTCTTTTTGTTGTCAAACTAGGTCTGTAAATGCATGCGTGTTGTGGATATGCATGGTGTCGGGTTTGCCACAACGGGTGCGCAGGTGTGTGCGATGTTACACACAGCACACCACGGGTAAGCTTGCATGCGTGTGTGTCTGGCTGTGATTTTCCTGGAATGTGTCAGAGCTGTGCCGCCTCTCCCTCTCTGCTGTCCACTGGAACTCCGTGCAGGGGTCTCCTGCTCTGTCCACTGGAACTCCGTGCAGGGGTCTCCTGCTCTGTCCACTGGAACTCCGTGCAGGGGTCTCCTGCTCTGTCCACTGGAACTCCGTGCAGGGGTCTCCTGCTCTGTCCACTGGAACTCCGTGCAGGGGTCAGGGTCTCCTGCTCTGGCCGTGCTCTGGTCGCACGGCAGGTGCCTGGGGACTCAGCAGAACAAGCCATTGCCCTCTGGAGGATAACCTTCCTTTTTCTTTTTCTTTTGGTTCAACTCAGGGCCTGGGCGCTGTCCCTGAACTCTTTTGTTCAAGGTGAGCACTCTACCACTTCGAGCCACAGTGCCATTCTGGTGTTCTGGTGGTTCATTAGAGATAAGAATCCCACAGAATTTCCTGCCTGGGCTGGATGTGAGCCGTGATCCTCAGATCTCCTGAGTAGCTAGGATGACAGGCGTTAGCCACCCAGCCCCTACCTTCTACAAGATCAAGCTGAATAGAAACCCCAAGCCGTGTGGAGGCTTGCCTTGGAGATGGGCGGAGCCATGTGATTTCTGGGGGTGAGGCCTTGGGTGGAGGTCTGGGAAGCCAGCGAAGGCGTGGGCTCACCGGGTCTCCCGTGGGAGGGAGGTGCTGCCAGACGAGGCACCGGTGCTGGGCTGGCAGCTTGTGTGTGGAGCAGCTCTGAGAGGCTCTGAGCCCTGGGAGAGGCAGAGAGGTGAGCGCCGGGCAGGGGTCCCAGCCTGAAGGGGTTAGCGGTGTGGGGGGAGGAGGGGCCACCGGCCTTGGCAGCGGATGCTGCCTCGGAGAGTGCTGTGTGTGAGTGCTGGCAGGTGTGCTGGGTGCAAGGGCAGGGCACAGGCGTGCCCCCTGCTGTGCACGCGCCTCAGGGATGGTGGGTCTGAGGCATCTCTGGAGATGGCCCTGGGTCTCCAAGGGTGACGAGAATGGGGGGGTGGTTAATGCAGGGGACTCTGAGGTCCTGTGCAGCCCAGGCCCGGAGCCTGCGTGTGGACCGGCCAGCGGCCAGCGTGGCTGGCTGGAGACGGGGCCGGGCTTCCCAGTGCAGATGGCCTCCGCACGCATCTGGACTCCGCTCCACCCAGCACTGCTGTCAGGAAGCCAGTGGCATCCTGGAGGTGGCAGGGGCGGGGCCCTGGCGGGGGAACCCCCCCCATCATCTAGGTGAGGATGGTGGCAGGTTTGCTCTAGGCCGCAGGATGGCAGAAGAGCAGGAGCAGAGGCACACAGCAGGCGGGGCCGGCCGCTGGCTGTGGGGCCGGAGCTGAGGAAGGACTCTGCAGGGTGAGCCGCCAGCGTGTCCAGCGTAGCTTCCCGGGGAGCACTGGAGGTGGAATGCCAGCGCCGCACAGGACGGACCTCAGCTCCCGTGAACTTGATGTTCCAGTGCGGGGAGACAGGGACTTTGCCGTCCAGTGCAGGGTCTCAGAAATCCCTTCCTGAGTGTCCCGGACGGTAGACCGAGGTGAAGCTGTGACAAGGCCACAGGACTTGGCCCAGCCTCTTCGGCTGTGCCAGGAGGGCCGAGGGAGCTGGGGGTCTGGAGATGGGGTCACGCCCGCTGCCCAGGGCGCCCTGGCTCCCATGTAATTTGGGCATCAGTGCTCATAGGATGGATTGTTGGGTATTTTCCTAGCCGCAGATGTAACTGTGGAACCTCAGCACCCCTGGCCGCTGGTACCCTGCACGCTCACACTTGAGCTTCTCCATCCTGATGTTCAGCCGCAGATCACCCTGTACCTGCTGCAGCCCCGTACACCCCGCCCACCCCCACTCCCCCCGTTCCTGCCAGGTCCTGCCCTGGCAGACCTCTCGGGACCCTGCCTTAGCTTACATCCTGTGGTGAGGCTTGCTGGTAGCAGGTGTTTGCTAATTTGAACTGAATTGAGGCTCATGTTTTCTCTTTCAGATCAAGCCGGTGGTACATTGTGACATTAATGTGCCTTCCAGGTGGAAAATGCACCACTGCATATCCCGACATATAAAGTGAGTACAGTCCTTGTGAGCAGTCCTCTGTCACCTGACCAGCCCTCCCCTCCCCGCCCCCTTCTCCTCCCTCCTCCTGACTCTCTCTGTCTCTGTCTCTGTCTGTCTGTCTGTCTGTCTGTCTGTCTCGGACAGCCCAGTTCCCCGTGGACTGTCTGCACGTGGCTCAGCCTTGTGAGGAAGGGCTGCACGCTCTTTCTTTCCCTTTGGGAAAAGAATGCAGTTTCTAGGTTGTTATTTGCAGAGCTTTTTTTTTTTTTTTGGTGGGGGAAGAGATGAAGAGCAAGAGTGATGTACAGACCAGTTCGTTTTAGGCTGCTTTTTAAACCTAGCAGTTCAGCTGTTAGATGTTGTGGGAAATTCAAAAGCTGTTTTCACCATGATGAGCTCACAAAAGCCACTCCGGGTGCTGGCAGACCGCAGCCATACGTGTTGTGGGACGCTGGTTCTCAAGAGGACACGTGCAGACAGCGTGGGACCCCTGCGAGGGCCTCGGGCCTTGTGTTTAGCCGGGGGGGGGGGGGGGGGAGACCATGCTGGATTTAGACAGCACACTGGGTCACATCCTGGCCCCGGTCTTGGCAGGGTGACCCCCACACACCTGGTCTTCTCATGGACGGCAGGACTGAGGGGACTCTCTTTGGCGTTGGTGCTGAGGTCCGACTGGCAGTGTGTCCAGGGCCCCAGCCTGTGTGTTTGGGGCAGAGCAGCGCTTCTTCTTCTGGACTCTCTCCCACTGGGTGTTTAATGTTTTAATGGCTAAATCCCTGGTGTGGGATTCAAGATGGTGCCTTCTCTTTCCTTAGGCTCTGCTCCTGATGGGAAGAGGTTGATTCAGGGGTTCTTGGTGTGTGTGTGTGGGGTGTCACCAGCACCTAGTGTCCGGGCCCAGGCCTGGTATTCATTAACAGGAGTCCCAAAGACTTATTCCCTCTCTATCCTAAGCAATGGTCCTGGGGCAGATGAGGCTGGTGGACAACACGTGACCCAGCAGCTCTGCAGCCTGCAGAGGGGAGAAAGAGCACCACTAATTAGTCAAACTTTGCCTTTCCAAGACCCGCGTGTCCTGAGAACCGCTCCTGCACACAGGCCACCTCCCCACGCGCTTCTTGTCAGGACCAGTTACGTAGAATTCTACAGACTGCGAAGCCTTCCTTACCTGGGAAGAGTTGTGGTGGGGATCCTTCCTGCCAAGGCCTGTCTCCTCACAGCGTCCTTGTGGGGCGTGGCCCGAGGCACCGCGATTCTCAGGATTCTCACGTGTTAGGCATTCCAGGCTGTTTGTAACTCTGTAACATCCAGCCGGGATGGGATGTGTGTGTGGCTGGGCTCCCTCCTCCGCCCTCCATCCATGTGCTGCAGGTTCCACTAGATGGACCCAAATAGCCATCTACCAAGAAGGCTGCTCACGTTTGCGTGGAGGCTTCGTAAGCGCAGCCTGGGCTAGCACGGGGAGCAGCTCTCAGGAGCTGGAGGGAGGCAGGCCCTCTGAGCCCGCCTTGTTAATGGGAGGGCCGAGTTATGTGTGCGTGGGAGGGAGAACTGGCATCCCTGGCAGAGCTTTGGCTGATCACGGTCAAGAAGAGCTGGTAACTGTGAGCCTAGGTCCTGCTGTGGTTCACTGCCTGGCGGGGCCGAAGCACAGACACTGCAGCTAGAGGGCCAGGCTCCCTCAGGGCTCCCTCTGCACGCAGAGCTGGCTCTGTTTGCTTTCCTCACTCTGTGTGCACTTGGGGACACCCTGGGAGCCTCGGAATGCCTCGGGTACAACCTGCTGCGTCCCTAGCTTCCCCACCCCACACTTGGAGGATCTAGCGTTACAGGACTCAGAAAGAAGCTTCTTTGAGTCTTTGTCTTAAAAAACAGCAGCAATACAACTTGCCAGTTGCCAGTGGCTCATGCCTGTCATCCTAGCTGCTCAGGAGGCTGAGATCTGAACCTTGTACGTATCTCCAGTGAACCACCAGAAAACCAGAAGTGGTGCTGTGGCTCAAGTGCTAGAGCATTACTCTTGAGCTGAGGACCTGAGGGACAGTGCCCAGGCCCAGAGTTCAAGCTCCACAAACAACAACAACAACAACAACAACAACCACCACCACAAACTTTTTTTCCTTCTTACTGTATTTTCAATATTGTTTTTACTTTATTGAAGTATTTATTTAGACAATTTTAGGATTTGAACTTGGGCCTCGTGTTTGCTAGGCAGGTACTTTACCACTTGTTTCTATTTTTTATTTCTCTTTTATTTATACTTTCCTCTACGTTATAACCAGATTTATGTCTACAAAATACCCTTCTTCTTTTTTTTTTTTTTGTTGGTCATGGGGCTTAAACTCTGGGTTTGGGCACTGTCCCTCAGCTCTTCAGCTCAAGGAGAGCGCTCTACCATTTGAGCCACAACACCACTTCTGGTCTTCTGGTGGTTTATTGGAGATAAGAGTCTCACCCGGGGGCTGGGAAGGTGGCTTAGTGGTAGAGCGCTTGCCTTGCATGCCTGAGGCCCTGGGTTCAATTCCTCAGCACCACATAAGCAAAAAAAAAAAAAAAAAGCTGGAAGTGGTGCTGTGGCTCAAGTGGTAGAGTGCTAGCCTTGAGCTGAAGAGCTGAGGGACAGCACCCAGGCCCAGAGTTCAGGCCCCACGACTGGACCCAAAAAAAAAAGAGTCTCACCTGGGCTGGCTTTGAACTGTGATCCTCAGATCTCAGTCTCCTGAGTAGCTAGGATTACAGGCATGAGCCACAGACACCTGGTGATACCTTTATTCTTTTCATCTTCCTAACTTTCTTTTTCTTTTCTGACCTTTGCTTCTTTATTCTGACCCCCTTTGGTTTAGGCTTTTATTATTGTACTTTTAGCATTTTTATAGATTTATTATTTTCTAATACTTGTACCAGGAGGTTTCAGTTCCCCTGTCTGCCCTGTCCCCAGTTCCCCTGTCTGCCCTGTCCCCAGTTCCCCTGTCTGCCCTGCCCCAGTTCACATGTCTCCCCTGCCCCAGTTCACATGTCTGCTCTGCCCCAGTTCACATGTCTGCTCTGCCCCAGTTCACATGTCTGCTCTGCCCCAGTTCACATGTCTGCTCTGCCCCAGTTCACATGTCTGCTCTGCTCCAGTTCACATGTCTGCCCTGTCCCCAGTTCCCCTGTCTGCCCTGCCCCAGTTCACATGTCTCCCCTGCCCCAGTTCACATGTCTGCTCTGCCCCAGTTCACTTGTCTGCTCTGCCCCAGTTCACATGTCTGCCCTGTCCCCAGTTCCCCTGTCTGACCTGTCCCTAGTTCCCATGTCTGCCCTGCCCCAGTTCACATGTCTCCCCTGCCCCAGTTCACATGTCTGCTCTGCCCCAGTTCACATGTCTGCTCTGCCCCAGTTCACATGTCTGCTCTGCTCCAGTTCACATGTCTGCTCTGCTCCAGTTCACATGTCTGCTCTGCCCCAGTTCACATGTCTGCTCTGCCCCCAGTTCACATGTCTGCTCTGCCCCAGTCCACATGTCTGCTCTGCCCCAGTTCACATGTCTGCCCTGCCCCAGTTCACATGTCTGCTCTGCCCCAGTTCACATGTCTGCTCTGCCCCAGTTCACATGTCTGCTCTGCCCCAGTTCACATGTCTGCCCTGCCCCAGTTCACATGTCTGCTCTGCCCCAGTTCACATGTCTGCTCTGCCCCAGTTCCCATGTCTGCTCTGCCCCAGTTCCCATGTCTGCTCTGCTCCAGTTCACATGTCTGCTCTGCCCCAGTTCACATGTCTCCCCTGCCCCAGTTCACATGTCTGCTCTGCCCCAGTTCACATGTCTGCTCTGCTCCAGTTCACATGTCTGCCCTGCCCCAGTTCACATGTCTGCTCTGCCCCCAGTTCACATGTCTGCCCTGCTCCAGTTCACATGTCTGCTCTGTCCCCAGTTCACATGTCTGCCCTGCTCCAGTTCACATGTCTGCTCTGCCCCAGTTCACATGTCTGCTCTGCCCCAGTTCACATGTCTGCCCTGCTCCAGTTCACATGTCTGCTCTGTCCCCAGTTCACATGTCTGCCCTGCTCCAGTTCACATGTCTGCTCTGTCCCAGTTCACATGTCTGCTCTGCCCCAGTTCACATGTCTGCTCTGCTCCAGTTCCCATGTCTGCTCTGCCCCAGTTCACATGTCTGCCCTGCCCCAGTTCACATGTCTGCTCTGCCCCAGTTCACATGTCTGCTCTGTCCCCAGTTCACATGTCTGCCCTGCCCCAGTTCACATGTCTGCTCTGCCCCAGTTCACATGTCTGCCCTGCTCCAGTTCACATGTCTGCTCTGCCCCAGTTCACATGTCTGCTCTGCCCCAGTTCACATGTCTGCCCTGCTCCAGTTCCCATGTCTGCTCTGCCCCAGTTCACATGTCTGCCCTGCTCCAGTTCACATGTCTGCTCTGCCCCAGTTCACATGTCTGCTCTGTCCCAGTTCACATGTCTGCTATGCCCCAGTTCACATGTCTGCCCTGCCCCCAGTTCACATGTCTGCTCTGCCCCAGTTCACATGTCTGCTCTGCCCCAGTTCACATGTCTGCCCTGCTCCAGTTCACATGTCTGCCCTGCCCCAGTTCACATGTCTGCTCTGCCCCAGTTCACATGTCTGCCCTGCCCCAGTTCACATGTCTGCCCTGCCCCAGTTCACATGTCTGCTCTGCCCCAGTTCACATGTCTGCTCTGTCCCAGTTCACATGTCTGCCCTGTCCCCAGTTCACATGTCTGCCCTGTCCCCAGTTCACATGTCTGCTCTGCCCCAGTTCACATGTCTGCTCTGCTCCAGTTCACATGTCTGCTCTGCCCCAGTTCACATGTCTGCTCTGCCCCAGTTCACATGTCTGCTCTGCTCCAGTTCACATGTCTGCCCTGCTCCAGTTCACATGTCTGCCCTGCTCCAGTTCACATGTCTGCTCTGCCCCAGTTCACATGTCTGCTCTGCTCCAGTTCACATGTCTGCCCTGCCCCAGTTCACATGTCTGCTCTGCTCCAGTTCACATGTCTG